CTAACATTGTTTTCATGGTGGGAAATTAAGGCACTTTACAATTTCAAGCGAATACTAGTCAGTTAAGGTTACTCACGCTCATAATTGTAATATACCTCTTAGGACGAAATCTTGCCATTCATAAATTCATTTGTAACCAGACTCACTCATGTTATCTTAGATCATCTTTTTTTTATTATTTTGATTTTTGACTATAAAAATTTAATACAAAAATATTCTTACAAATAAACATAAGCATATTTTATGATGCATGTGACAGAAATGTGATTAATAACACGAACATAATACATTTTCAAACGCCAGTCAGTCATTTTGATCTGATCACATAATGAATTCATGAACATATATTTCAACATGCGTAATGTATGTACCAAATTTACAAAAACAGACCAAGCATGTCAATGAAACCACACCAAAAACCAAGATGGACATGTATTCCAACATGGATACTGTACATGCAAATATGAATGAAAATGATCTTAATTAGAGCCATTATATTAGTATGGTCAAAAAACAAGATGACCTTCAGTTAACCATTTTTGATTTGATTATGGAACAAATTGTCATAACATGTATAATGTATCTACCAAATTGGAATCAAAATGAAAAAGCCTGTTCACAATACTGCATTTTCAAAAGCAAGATGGCTGACAGTCAGCCATCTTGGATTGAATCACTAAACCATTGCATGTGCATGTGTCCCACGTACAGTACTTACAGGCACATGCAAAGAATAAACAGATTTGGTACAGAAATATGTCTCAGGATGGACAATGGCAGACCATTTTGCGGAACAATCATCAGAAATTTAAGTAGGAAAAGCAGTTGAAATATCGTTTGACACCCGCCTTCTAAATATCACCGGAGAGAAATCAAGCACATTTAACTCCTACATATAATTCTAAATACTTAGATACGACTCCTTGCCCATGGCATAAAATCGATATTACTGATAAAACATGAATTATACACAAATCGTGTCTACAATTGATATGTACATATTTTTATTCCCCAACACAGCACTCACCTCACGGTTCTCAAATGCAATAAATGATTCTTTAAATGTCTGTATAGTAAGATCACCATCTTCCACACACTCCACTAGGTTGGTATTTTTAGTTCCTAATCCAACAGCTAATCCCTTATATAGCTGTCTCCACTCAGCTTCACTTGAACCATTGTAATATTCAACCTCTGAAAGAAAAATATTACGGTGAAATTATCCTGGTGTATGCAAATGCAATAGTTAGGTTTTATTATATAATAACTTTATTGACATTATTCATTTTGAACAGAACATAGCCAAATACTATTCTTAGAAACAAAAAAAAAATAAAACAAAAAATAAAAAAATATATATATATTTGAAACTAGAAACTCTGTGAAAGGATAAACTGTATAAATAATTTTTTTTAATTACATTTAAATTTATTTTCACACTTATTGTAATTAGCTTTCCTCTATCAAATATGAATATGATTTTTAAGCATCACTTTTTTGTAATTTCCCCTGTAAACAAACTGTGCAGATTTTTTTTTTTCAAAATTGACCTTCTCTCCTGAGTTTCTAAATGTCACATACTTACCAGCCATTATTAGCAACAGAATTAAAGGTTTCCATGACATCATTGCTTTATCACATGATATTGTAAACCTCTATTTATGTTAAGAAAAAGCCGCACAATTTAACTAAGTTTGTCTAATTCTGATGTTTGTGATTTACAATGTCGCATTATATTTTGCCATATGGACCCTTCCCCTCATTTGATACAGTGTTGTAAGGGATCCATTGTTGTTTATAACTAATATACAGTACTAGTGCACCGACAATCAGCACTGATATACTATTAGATATGGATATACAGCGCAGTGTCAACACAATGAGTTGTTTTGTTGGAGGATTCTGTTTGTTTAAAACACATAGCAAAAATATGAATGTCTTGCCTCATATATATAGACTTATTGCTGGATTTACCAGTGTACCCAAAATGTCATTCAAATGATCTACTAAGCACCATATTTTTTCAGCCCAAATTTTGGAACAAACTTTTGCACATTTTTCTGTAATTTCTCTGTTAATTTTTGACCACATAAACATAATTTCCTACTGGCTACAATTATAAGGATTTTTGTGTAACTTTGGCATTCAAACTTCATAGAATGCTATCTAATGGATTCCATGTAAAACATACTTACGTATATCCAAAACATTCAGAAATTTCCTATTAACAAGATATCTGATATCATATGTACCATTTGGTAGATATGAATTCATAGTGACACTCCCATTAGGTACAGGATTTCTCTTCGGATTCTGAGATCCCTGAACATATCTGATATAGAGATCAAATAGGCACAGTACAAGTTATCTTCTGTATTCCAATAACAGCACTGTCTGGACTGACCCAAAACATGTATACTTTACTTTTAAGACAAAAAAATGAATATACTTGTTTAACATTCCATTATGTTCCATTCACACATTGTACAACATGGGACTATGTGTAGTATGCATGTACACAGTAAATCCTTGATCAACAGTAATAATTACCATAAACTTGGAAATGAACCTCACCTGAAATCCAGATATTTGTCATTCTGAGTTCCCTGAGGATAAATGCCAATCCAGTCACTGTTAGTAGCTTCATCTATTGGTACAGACCATGACACGGTCAGATTTCCTCCATAGGCAACTCTAGAGGCCCATGTATGGATAGACTTTTCTTGCTGTACAATAGCCACCTAAGAGTCATGATAGTAAATAGTCAATCATTTTATTTTCTCAAGAGTATATCTGCAGATAAAATTTCACGAGTCAAATTTACACAACTATATGGGGGATAACAGTGATCTGAGAAAGGTACCTAGGTTTACATTATTAATACTTTTGTTAATCTTGAGAATAAAACAAGAACATGCATCAAAGCGTCTCACTCATTATATACCAGCCAAGTGATTGACAGAATAAGTAGCCAATCAGGGATGGCGTTAATTTCCAAAATTAATGAGAGACAAGCCATTATAGCATAACTTTTATGGTGGGAAATTAAGGCACTTTACAATTTACATTTTCATGAGAATACTAGTCAGTTAAAGGGAGTTGTCTTATAGTCTACGCCCCCACAACACCCCATTGTTCCTTGGTGTTTTCTACACTAATACTATAGTACTAAACACTATTAGTCCATGTGAAAGTGATGTACACAAAAGCACATCCCATGAAATAAGGTAACACACAGTAAATAATATCTCAACAAGTTTGGGTTAACACAATATTATGACTATTATGATAGCAGGATGGTCTTATGGCGATTAATTCATGAAGTCCAAAATATACATGGTTTCCATGCCAACATACACTGTACAGGTGAAACACCAGTGATCAACATTCAATATTAAATGATCTAACAAAATTTCACTTTAACAAATATTTTAGCATAATCTACCTGTTTGTTTATATTCAATACAAATGCCATCCACCAGTGTTTATCATCCTTCACTATCCGTGGCTGGCTTGATGAGAATACAGAGCTATTGATCTGCCTCCAGTTACTCCATGCACCACCCTTTTTTAACTGCCACAGATGCCATAGACTGAAACAACAAGCACGGATGAATGAACTTTTATGCCTTTTATAACATAAA